AAACAGTGCAACGTGATGTCGAGCTTGTATGCTCGTTGCTGCATTCAACTTCGGCTGCAGACAGCTTGGCCACGGCTCGGATCGGCTCGGATCAGCGCGCGTCGGCTTGGATCGGCTTGGATGTTCAGCCGCAAAATGGAAAATCAAAATAAAATCGAAAACAATCAAAAAATGACAGGCTCGTGCTCTGCCACGAAGGCCTCACAAGAAAATTGACGTAAAGTCACGTTCCGCTCTCCAACTGCAATTTTTCGGTCTCTGGTCGATTTTTCAGATGTTTGGTCGATTTTCGGCCGATTTTGATTTGTTTTTCCGATGTTTGGTCGGTATTTTTTGGTCGATTTCTGGTCGATGTTGTTTATGCTTTCTCTCTTTTGGGTTGATTGTTGGTCGATTTTCGGCCTGTTTTGATTTTTTTGATTTTGGGCTGATTTTCGAATGGTTTCGGCCGATTTCACTTGTCTTTTTGTTTGTTTCGGTTTTGGGAGGATGTTGGTGTTTCTGGATTTTTTTTTCCGATTTTTTTTTCGATTTTTGGTGGATTTTCGGTCAATGTGGACGTTCTGTCGATTTTGGCCGATTTCGACCGATTTTGAGTTGTTGATGTTTGTTTTTGTTTCTCGATTTTTTGGCTGATTTGGCCGGTTTCAATCTTGGCCGATTTTTCGGCAGGCTTCCCTATTCGGTTTGCGCGTTTCTTGTGAGGCTTTCGTGGCACAGCACGAGCCTGGTGATTTTCCTGATATTTTTTTTTAAACGTTTTTGGTGACTTTTGCATCTATGTACATAACCCTGTCTTGTAAAGGGCTTGAGGATCTTAAAGATATGCGATCTGAAATCCAGATTACCTAGGCTTTCGACCTTCTGAGTTGTGCACAGGGTTAAGTGTCTGGGGCTCCACGCACTTTACCGTTCGGACAAATTTTCGGATGCTTCCAGGGCTGATTCTGCTTTGCCGATATCGGCACGTCTTTCTGGATCGGATTTCCGATCCACCCGGTTCATTTGCTGCATTTTCGCTCTCACATCTTCAGGAATGTACGGCCCTGTGCTAAGGACTTTACGGCCCTGCGCTAGGGGACCTCCCCATCCGCGCTTCACCACGAAGCCCGGGGAATGCTTAAGACTAAACCTCCCAAAGCCTACTCATTTTGTGATTTTGAGCAAAAGCTGTCTTAAGCATTCCGGGGTCCTGGCAAGGTATGTTTGCCAGAGTCAAGTTTTGGAGAAACACATGAGATTACGGAGGAGGTTATCGACCAGTTGCCGAGGCAATTGCTGCAGAATGTAGTTTTTATATGATGGTTTTGAGTATGCCATTCCCTGGAACCCCAAGCAACGTGGTCAGTGGACACTGCGGGTTTTGCCAATGCTAAGGTGCAATTGCACTTGATGTGGCAGCTGTGATTGCAGGTCTCGTTTGTGCACCGAAATGACCGCGCAGCCAAGGTCAGGCTTCGCCGCCCCCGCTGCCACCACCGCCGCCACCACCGCCGCCACCACTGCTGCCGCCACCACCACCACCAACAATAAGCGTCACCGATGTTTGGGGAGGAATCCAATTGGAGTGCCCCCAGAGTTATGACAAACTTGTTCATGTGAGGTGTTATCAAAAGCAGGAATGTCATAGGCATATTCAAGTGGACAAAAGATTTCATCGCATCCTGGCAGCGATCGTCTTGGGCCGCATTGCGATGGATGGCTTGCTTTGTTTTTCGGCAGCCATTGGGCTCGTGTCTGAGACCCAGGCTTGTTTCTGAGTCTCACTTCAGTACAGGGATGCCTGCTAAATCAGTTCATGTTCTTGCCCGCTATGTTGGGCAATCGACTGTTGCCATGGTGCTGGCCTTGTGCCTTGCTGGATGTGAGGACTGTTGCTTCCTGTTGTGATGTTTTGGCACATCAATGTGGCCTGATGTTATCAGTCTTAATGCATGATTCAAGCGTGTCAGGCAAAAAGAATTCAGTCAGCAGGAATTTTGAGTACAAGGGATATTGATGGGGTGCGTTTCTTCGTGGCACGGACAAAAGGTTTTCCTGCCACAGGTGTTGCAGGCAAGCCAGGTTTGCATTCCTAGCAACAATGGTCACCGGTGTTTCAGGTATCGAGTGCCGCGCTTTCAGAAGTAGGAGACTGGTTTCAGGTGCGGCAGAGGATGTATGAAGTGATTGAACGCAATAGCAGAGCTTTGAAATTCCGAATCATGGCAAACGGGCATTGTCGGAGCATTCATGCTAGTAAGCACGCAAGAGGGACAAACTGTCCCCATCCGCTTCCGAAAATTCTCTTGCATTGCTGAGTCTTGTTTAGAGAAAATGTTGTGCAGCATACGACGGCATTTTGCTAACAGGTATCCACACAGCCAACGCGAGTTTACCAAGAGAACAGGGCATCGCATCCAAGCCTGCAACTTCTTTCGGAATCGTTCAACAGGCTCCTTCTCAAGACAAATATTTCACGCAAACTGCAGTCCACAAATTCAGAACAGTGCAGTCGGTTTGGATGACCCGCCTGGATGGGAAGTTTCTGAACTGAGTGCTGACTACCCTTGACTCGTGAACACATCAGAATGGCGGGAAACCAAAAAGCAGGTTGGCTCCTGGAAACATTCACCAAAGGTTTTGGCTTCTTTGGAAAGCATGAGTGCTTCAATGCCAGGAATTCAGAGCATCAAAGTTTGGAACATCAATCTGCAGAAGGCAGACAACAAGCTTCAGCTCAACACCCCAAATCATCATCGAAGCTTTGTCACAGTCAGCTTTCTCAAAATACACGTAGTCACAGAATGTCCCGTGCACAAGAAAGGTTTGTTCTTGCAAGACTTGTGATCAATTCGACTTTAGTCTAAGCTTGCTCCAGTCCTCTTACTAGATGCATACAGCATTCCCTCCAAACCATGCGCCCTAAATCGTGTGTGATGCTATCAAACTAGAGTCGTTTTGCAAGGCTAGCAAGCTTTCTATATCTTTCTATGATTGGTACTCTGCTCCCTTCATACTGATACTAATCCCCCCATTGTTTATATGTGTATACTGTATATATGTATATACACGCATTTCTTTTTCTATTTTTCCGTTTTAATGTTGTGTACTTGATTTTGGAGGTGCAGGGTGTACGATATGAGTGTGAAGGGATGCGCTCAGCCATTCGTGCTTGTGCCTCACCAGACTTGACCATCAAGAGTTTTGGAATGTAGCTTCAGAAGCTCGATTGTTTGATCAACAAGTTTGCGCATACTTGTGTTGATGCTGCAGTCGGCTTCAACATAGTCGCCGAAAAACGTACACATGCAATTGTTGATTGCGCGGAGGTGTATTCTTTCCCATGTTGGACGTTCATCTTGCCAAGTCCCCTTTGAGGGGACCGCTATGCTGGAGTTAGTGTTCAGGTAACTTTTCACAGAGTTGGGGAGGTGGGTCTTCACCCCCTATGTCCAAACTGCCGTTGATTGTTTTCATGCGTGCCAAGACCATGTATGTTTAGGAATGACCCCATGCATCTGCAGAATCTCTGATATGGACGCAGATATTGAAAAGAAAATAAGTACAAAGTAAAAGCGACCCTCAACCCAGTCCCGACGAACACAACGCGACAAAGTCACAGAAAAACGCACAAAATGCACAGAAGTTGAACATCTTTCGTCACAGAACAGAACTATAATCTAGGAAAAGATTGAGTGCACGGGTGGCTCGCAGGTCTTACCACGATTTTCGGCTGCCCTAGAGCGCAAATGCAGCTCAGCTTTCACGGTTCGCAGATGTTCGTAGGTCTTACAAACGGCTGTCGCAACCCCGTGGTTGTTGCTCGGTTGTACAATCCACGGCTAGTGGAAAGCCAGGGCAATCCTTACTGCAGTGTTTGTTCCAAGACATGACTGTGTCTTGTTGCTTGGATTGTAGGGATTGCTGCTGTCCAGTGGCAGGTGGAGTTTTGTGGGAATCGAGTTGAGTGAGTGACAATCAGATCAGGTTGAAATCAGGGTACCGCGTTCGCCAACAGATAGACTCAAGATAGACGGCTGCGAAATTTCAGAAGTGGTAACCAAGTTTGGCAATCAAGGATGGATCAGGTGGTAAGTAAGCCTCGACGCCTGGCCCTTCAAGAAAATGCCGGTTTAAAAATGCTCTTGCTCCATCCCAAAGGATTTTGTAGCGTCATCACGTCGTCATTTCATTGGCGCTCTTCTCTAGTCTTGCTTTTCCTCTTTATCCCGCATGCACGTTTTCACCACCCTGCCGCCATGTGATCATGGTTGGCCAGGACAGATAGTCATGGGTTCCTGGCGCCCTGTATATGTTAGATACCCTTTGCTTGCAGAATTTGACGCACACTCACACAACACAAATCTTCATGTCAGGGTGTCACCAACTGCCACAGAAGACACGGCATGGTACCTGCTTCCTGAAGATCTTTGCGTGGCTGTGTCAACCATTGCCTACCAACAAGTCAGCTGCAAATTGGGAGGACGGCCAATTTCCTGATGCCGCATTGCTGAATTTGCTTCGTTGTTGCACGTTTGTTTTGTGCTTACAAGATTGCCTGCCAGAGTTTTTTTTCATGTTCCGCGAAGCAAATCACTGTAGGTTGACAACCGTATGAGAAACCATGCGAAGGTGCCGGAAAATGTTGTGCCCGGAAAGATGAATGCATCCGATAGAGAGTTCGCGGAGAAGCTTCTGAAAGTTCGAGAACGAAAAGAGCACCAGACATACGAGGACGGACGTTCAGTCCTGTGGGGTGGGTGGGGTGCGTTGCCCCAGAGCTAGGAGCGACCGATCCGAGCCTCGCCTCTCTTCCCTGAGGCCGTTCTGCTGGCAGTAAGAACTTAAAGCTGATTGGGAGCATTGGAATTTCAATTCAGGCCGTCATGAGCATGCACAGGTTGCTTTCGGAGCAACTCGTATCCATGGTTCATAGTGGTTCACCATGGCACATTGTAGATAAGAGACTAGAATGTAGAGCATTAGCTCAACATCCGGTTGTTATCTGCAAGCGTGAGGTGAAGTGCGAGAATGTTGTCGTTCCAACTGTGGACGAGCTTGAAGTGTGGGTGTCCATGCTGAAGACATGGCATACTGCTCCTCTCGTCAGCCAAGACTTTGATGTGCCAAAAGACAGACCTGTGATGCCACTTGGATACGCAGAGTTCCTGCCCTAAATTCTCAACCCTAGAGGGTTAGTTAGACCTGCTTGAGGCCAGAGCAGGCCTTCCTGCTGCAGATGTCGATGACAATGGCCTTGCTGCCTTACTGCCGGTATGACTTTTTCGGTGGTCTCTATCAAGGCTTCACCCCGGAAGGCGGGCATTCCTTCCATTGCACAAGACGTTGACTCAACAGTTACACCTACCCAAGTGTCACCCTGTGTGGTGCTGATATGAGGTAGCTAGAGTTTCAGGTAGTGCAAGTGATTAGTCGACGCGCCAGTCTTGGATCGAGTGTCGGGCCAAAGTTGTTTAAGCCTGAGACAAAGTTAGCTTTCTTCCCATTGGTTGGCGCACTCAAGGATAAAGGATCAGGCCATGAGTTTTTTGAAACTGTTCACAGGAGCTGACAAACCCAACCTCATTGAAGCCCAATTCATGGGTGACGAGCACGAGCCAGGCCTGGTGAGGGTCATGTATCAAGCGCTTGGGCCACTTTTTGTCTTATCCTGTGCACCTTTCCCTGAACTTGCCCGGGAAGCTTTCCTTACTTGGACGCCCATGGGACTTAGTAACTACTTATGACTGGGGTTACAACTCCCCTTATAATTGGGGTAACCCCTATAAGCCTATTTAGAAAAATTATAAGTAGGGTTATAAGCTCAGTTATAAGTGGTTACTAAGTCCCATGGGCCTCCAAGTACCCTGCGTTCCTTCTTGGAAAGTAGGGTCCAAGCTGAGGGTTCACTTTCTTGCCAACGTTAAAATGCAATCATGATGCTCAGACACAAGCTTGTTGCAAGCCAGAAACATGATGTGTAAATTCACGCAGTGTAGAAGCATTTAGCTGCGAGCTGTATGCGCTTCTGCAGGGGGTGGCCTGCAATGCTTTGTAAGTGATTCAATCCGGTGTTGATGGAGAATCCTGAAGGACAGAAGGATACGGAGGCACACATGGTCGCCTACGTTGTGAGCCTGAAGGCGGCATGGCACTTCCAGGATTCAGCAATTACCAAGCGAGGCTTTCTTAAGTATGCAAGTCTCCATAAAGTCCATTCAAGCAAGGCCAATCATGCGCATGCCAGCTCAACATGTGAAACTGATTTGTAAAAGCAGCCCGAATTTTGCAAGTCTACCCTTGCTGGTCAACGGGTTCAGAAGGCACAAATTTGAAGACACTTCAAAGTTGTGGTCTCTGTTCCAGCGCCTCTAGTGATTGAAGGAATCCGCATCTCCGCGGTGTGCCTTCCGGCCCATGAGGGCTTGAAGTTGCATAAGGTGGAAGTCGGAGTTGTGTGGAGGTGTGACTGCTATCCTTGCAGCTTGCACAGAGGATGGAGGCTTTGGTCTCATCCTGGGCTACAAGGGAACTTCGATCCTATGCTGCATCAGGGCAACGCATGTGCAGGTTTATACAAGGTAAGGACGTGTATTCCAATTTGTAAATTCCAGTATACCACATTACAGTGAGTTATTTTGCAGTATACTACAGCAGATATATTAGTTTATGGTGCATCATGGGATATGGCATCAAATTGCAGAACATCATAGTGTTTATAGTATCGCCTAGGGCATCTTGGGAAACGAAGTTGTCTTCTATTTCCTTAAACCTTCCTAGAAACCATTGAGAATTGGAAAAAGAAAAGTTGAACATCTTGAAGTTCTTTGCTGCAAGCCAAAGGTTCAGAGAATTCTCAATTAACATCTCTGGCCTAAAAGCTCAAAATAGGGCTGTCTCGCATGTGCACATATGCGTGTGTACAGATAGATTTTCATACATAGACATATACAAACGCATATACATATGCAATTATTTCATACATATACATATACAAACGCATATACATATACAATTACTGCTGACTCAGAAAATGTAGGATTTGGGGCCAGGGACAAAATTCTAGGATAGTTTTCTGCAATTTCCAGGTTTCCCGTAGACCAACAACGGTTTGAGAGGAGGGGGGCTAGTTTTCCTGCGTTTTCCGTAGTTTCACTTATCATATGTGAGTGTGACATGGCGTGATGTGTCATATGCTCAATTTCTAGTTTGATTGGTTATGAGAGGCTATTGCATAACCTTGATAGATCTTGGTTCAAACACACACACACACATCCACTGCCCCGCAACGTAGGAAAAGAAACAAGCTACAGATTCCGAATGGAAGAGGATTCCGGAAAGGTGAGGTAATACAAAAACACATGGAATAGGAGGGGACTTGCTATTTGTGTGGACGAGAGATGCTGAACCCCAAAGCTTAAATCCGAACCCTGAACTGCAAACCTAGTCATCGCATGGACTCTGAACAGTCGCTGCTTGACAGGCCAGTGAGTTCCTGTCATACCATATCTAAGTGCGCTATGCTGTACTGAGTACGTGATACTGGCTCTCGCATGTTATCGTCCATTGCAATTTTTCAGTCTGAGGGCTGGCGGATCGGTCGCTTGCTACGTGCCCTTTCCTGGTTGCAGCATTTTGCAACTCAGCTGCTTCAGCTTCAGGCTTTCAGATATATGAGTCGGTGCGCAGGGCAGGGGGGCCAGTTGTGTTGGGGGCGGTTGGCCTCGAGGTTTCGAGTTTCATGTGAGTTTGGATTTGAACTTGAAGATCTAGAACTTATGGTTTGGGCTTTAGGGCTCTTTGGCTTCCCATGTGGTAGGTTTGGCCAAGACACAAACGACTGGTACAAAAATTGGGATGCCGCCGCTGCGAGATTGTTCGTGGGCAACGACCAGATCCAGGCAGTGCCTGTGTGAAGGTTCCCAAACGCTTCATGTTCATGTCCGGACACCGAGCTACTCAAACTAAGTGCACTATGGCAGGTGCATCGCGGGTTCTTAGAGTACAAAAGAAGCCTCGACAAGCGGATGGCAAGGTCACCTATTCCGCAAGAAATGAAAGAGTCTTGGCTGGGTAGTGATTTCATTAACAGCAACAGTAGCAATTCGTTTTGTTTGTCGGTGCGTGTGTCATGTTTCCTGCTGCTTTTTTTTCAGGGGCTTGTTTGCCCACTTGCCAGGCCATTTTGGAATCTTGGGGTGTCAAGAAGCACTATGAGAACTTCTGGCAACTGGTGACATCTTCTGACTGGAAATGGTGCGTGTGTGCTTCTTGGAAGAAGGTGCATTCGGCAATCTGCACGCAAGGGCTTTCCGCTCCGTGCACATGCATGCATGTTGCTCTCCGCATTTTGTGCCGGTGAGCTGCAGTATTTCTCACAAGTGAAGCGAGCACCCAAGGTTGGGCACAGCCTCGGTGGCGGCATGGCGTCCATTGCTGCGGCTACGCTTTCAACACGTACCCAATCCGATGACAAAGGTCTGGCTCTTGGTTATGGCACAGCACACGCTGCAGTTGCTGCTGTCACAAACAACAACTTGAATGTAACAAGACGATGTTGCGATCTAAGGCCATGTCTATGAGGTCGTTGTTGGTGCGCCTAATGCGGGCAACAAGGCATTCGCAGACATGATGTCCAGGCAAGCTGGTCTCTTGAGTAGGTCGATGGATGTGCTGGCAAAGGTGATGGGCATGCTTCCAGTCAAAACTCTCCAGCAAATCATTGGTCGTAAGAGGTGAGGATATCCTGAACATTTGGAGCTCGTCAAAAAAAGGCTCAATACACGGTACTGCGCCTTCAGGAAATATGCTAGTGACCTTGAGAAGTGACACAAATCATGTTTTCCGCCAGCAGGCCAGCAACCCCGATGGTAAGGTGTTTCGCTCACGTTCGCAAGGAAGGTTAGCTAGGGAGATGAAGCGAGGAGTTTAGAGACCAACTGCCCTAGGCGAAATGCAAATTGCGACATATCGATGTCCGATTGGCTAGGTGTGAAGATTGCTACAGCATTGTGCTGGGAGTGAATTCAGCTGTGTTGTTGCGGCGCACAGGTCTCTACAAACGCACAGCTACAATCTTCATTCATATGGGGATTGTCCTAAATTACTGTCAATACGGGGTCCTATATTTAGGTTCCTATTATAATACGGGGTCCTATATAAATTTCCCCCATTTTGGGAACAGTAATTTAGGGGAACTTCCATATGTTCTCTTCTCAAATCGCTAGAGCACTACCTGAAAATTCGATCAACAGCAAAGCAGTCAGCTTGGGTGTTTTTTTAAACTTCTCACATTCTGCATGGCTTCCGGACCATGACAACGGGAATGTGCACATACAGAGGCAGCAAAGCAGCGAGACAAGAGTGAAGTAACCCTCTAGTGAGTACAGTACACGAAGTCCGTACTTGCACGCGTGCCACATATAGCCAGCGACGCCAGCTTCGCTCGTGCATCTTGATGTGCAATTTGCGGCCAATGACTGGTTGTCCTCCCTAAGAATGTCGCAGCATTGATGATCGGAGTACAGATTTTTCTGATGCAACTTTCCTAAAATCCTGGTTTCGTTGATTCTATTGGTTTTTAGCCGTCGATAAATCATTTTTTTTCTGATCGCATTTTCTAAAGTTCCACCTCCAAAATGCACTCGAGATTTACCTACAGAAGGGAATTTACATTATTGACTGCTTGAGAATGAGACAAGTATAGCATGTTGAGCAGACGCATGGATTTCTTGATATCCTTACTTCCAAGTTTCCCAAAAATTCTCAGGGCTTTTAGCAATTTCTCGGGCGTTTCGCAGGAAATCTTGTGTCTCCTCTAGTTTTGATTTTCAACTGATGAGCCCAGTCGCACCCGACCCCACCGACCCCACCCCTCCAGAAAAGAGCACGAACAGCAATTCTGGTTTGAATGCTTTACCCCGATCAGGAATCTGGCTGTAAATTTTGCAGGAATCATGTGCGTCCTCATGGAGGCTTGCGAATCGAAAACAAGGGAGATGAGGTGCCATCGAAAGGCCTGCAGATGGGCAGAGGTGTGCCAAATGGTGCCTGGCTGATGTAAGTGGCTGTTGTAAGTGCATGAAACGCAATCACGGCGAGCAACATTTCATAAGCCTTGCACCCACTATCTGAAGCTAGATGTTGTCAGTCAGGTATTCTTTGGAGATCGCCAAGGGATGTACGTCAACACAGCTGGTGGTGGCATCTGTGGGTGGTAAAGCAACATCTCCACTTTGAGATCGAGGAGAAGAACCAAAACCACCAGAAGATGGTGTTCACGTTCCCTTACTACGAACAGGTCCCGAAGAATGACAACTACTACACAGGTCAGGTGCGTCGAAAGCAACATAAAGCAACCATGTTGGGAGCATCGACATCGTGGAAGCATCCCCGCGGGTTTTTAGTTTTCTTGCATGTTCTTGTTCCCTTTTTGCAGGTTATCACAAACCAGTTGAACTCTATGCCGGAGTGGGCGGCTTGCATGTGCGCTGGGTACTTGTCGCTGCTGCCGGCCTTGCCTTTAACTTCTAAAGCTTCGCCCGCTCAGCCGCCAGAATCATGTCAATGACATGAGCGCGGCTTGCACAAGTTTCGGAACTCCGGCCGTACAGATTAGACATAGAGATCCTTGATGCTGACCTGTGCATGCGAATGGTCACAGGCAGAATGCACTCTCCTTTTTCATGCTTATCTTTCCTTGCGTGCAGCCAGCTGCCAGAAAGATGCTTGCATTCGCCTGTTGATCAGCTTTAGACTTGCCTCAAGCATCGGCATACGGAGTCAAAAGACTTTCCAGCTTGATCTCCTGCGGTGCATCCACGTTAGCTTCTGGGAATCCGTTTTCCTGCTCAGCCCATGTCATGGCGATACAAATGCCCACGAGTTTGTTGGACATCTTCATTCTGTGCCCCATTGTAGTGGCCCTTGTAGTGAACGAGCGCTGCATGAGTTCTGATTTGTTGCGGCATCCTCCAAATCCGGCCTAGCCGCTGTGGTCCAGTGCGGATGCCTAGCTAAGCTAGGCTTTTACGGGGTGACGCCACTCCCTCCGACCCCTGTAAGGAAATGGGATTTAGGGGTCAAGAATTATGGTGATGCTTGGACGTGCTTTTGAGGCTTTCCCCCCCCGCTACGGAGGGTTTGGGGCAATATTTTTTCTGGGCTAGCATCATCAGCACAGTTGGGCATTCGTTTCTCACTTGTGAACACCTCAACACACCTATGGTTTTGGAGGGGTGTTGGAATGGTGTCAAGAAGGAAATTGGGGGCCCAAACAGGCCCCATGATGCTCAGGATGCTGGCCCTGGGGGCCTGCTGGGCGCTTAAAATGCGCGATAAACCCCAACAAAACGCTCAACGTGCGTGCTGTGGGCAGTGTTTGTCATTGTGAAACCAGTGTTGGTAGCACCTGCACTGCATGTCAAACATGCAAAAGGCTTTGACAAAACCCCATAAACTGTGCATGTTGCATGTTTTATTGATGTGCGTTGCCGCCATATATATATATACATACACACATTTCCAGCACTTCTGTGGTTCCCAAGCTAGGATTTTGTACCGCTTTAGCTTATCAGATGCGTTAAAATGTTGCTTCTGTTGCTTCTAATTTGCAAAAAAATGAACAATGTAAGTCAGCGTGCGCATAGAACCATGTTCAAAGTCGTTTTTGATTGCTTTTCTTGGGTTTTTGACCCCTCCTGGTCCCAACTGAGCCAAAAAATGCGGATGCTGGCGTACAGGGCACGCGTGCCCCCGAGGAGCATTATCAGCACAATTGGGATTTTATTTTGGGTCATTAATGAGACAACAAGACCTTTCAAACCCAAGACACCATGGCAGGTAGCAAGAACATTTTTCTTTCATACACTTGTCCCGATCAGGAGCATCAGCAGGGATGGGGTGGTTGCATTTTCACATGATGGCTGGGTTTTGGAAAGGGGGACGGCCAGGCCGGCCTGCGCCGAAAGGCCCGAAATAAGCCCAGCCACGGACTGCTATCGGAGGACCGTCTTCATGCAGCCCGAGAGAACGTACAGTTAAATACGATGTTCTGGTGTTCATGAAGAGGGGGGAAAGAGGTCAAACAGCTAGGATAAGTGGTGCTAGTTTCTCTGGTGTAGGTCCGTCTTGGGGCGGGTTCTGCCTGGGGCCGTCGGGGCCTGCGGCTTCGAACAAAAAAAGAACAATAGGGTGTCCAAATTCAGATGCGTTTGTAAGACATGCAGGCCGATTGAAATCATGAAGGCAACATAGCTTGTCAGCATTACATTGTGCGGGAAGTGCCGTTTGCGTTAATGAGAATGATGCAAAAGCGGAACACGTCAGTCTTTCGGTTTTTCTCATTTGCATGATTACCCCAATGCAAATTCTTCCCGCTTCCAGAGGAATCCCCAACATTCGCCTCACATGCGAGTGGCATCAAAAGTATCAAATTGTTCTGAGGTTGGAAAGCTTTTTTCTGCCGGCAAGGTCCCCATCCTTCAGCTGGCAAGCATGCTGCAAGGTGCTTGCCTGGCAACCACCACCCACTGCAGGAGGCTACCCAAACCCCAAACACACAACCGGGTGCCCTGAACCTCCCACCTGGGTTGAAAGCAACATGCTCTGGCACAAGGTTCCTCATTTAGGGTTTAGGTTAAGGATTTTAGGTTTAGGGCTGGATACTGCAGTTTGTGCAGCATCCTCGGCACTTTTTCTGTCATCTGCCCTCAAGTTTGAGCCTTCCTGCCGTCAAGCGTACTTGCTTGCGTGTCATGCCATCCTGCAGCCGTATGAATGGCAGATTGTCGAAGGTCTTGCAATACTTCCATGTGCCACTGCCTTTATTCGAAGCCGGATGCCTGACATGAGGCAATCGCAAGCGTTCAAGCAATCGTCATTTGCATCAACCCTCAAGCCTGGACCCCAAATTACTGCTCCAGGTACGTGCGCTGGCTTGACAAGTTCCTCGCCAGCAGATGCCGGGCGTAGCCTCTTGCAAACAGTGGTCCTAAAGACCTAGTGCCGTATTCCTGGGAGTATTTTCTGGATTCTAGAGGGTGACATAGGAGTATCTAGGGATATATAGGGTAAGGGCTTAGCCATACGATATTCATGCTTACAGGGGCCCTACATGTTTTCCAGCCTACTGGACTTGGATGCTCATGCCAGTGCCCCCTTCACACATGCTGTGCTGCTTTCTTTTGCTGCAAGGATGTTCATGCTGCTCGTCCTCGTACCGCATGCAGACGCTGCACGCTCTGCTCTTAGATATGTGAACAGTATTATTCAAAGCGGCTACTGCAGGAAAAGCTGACAATTTCAAGATCATGTCTTGACGTTGGCTGTGTAACACAAAGCCGAAAGCCCAAAACATGTGACGGCAGCCAGTTTGGGCCGGATCCAGGATTTTTCAGGTAGAATCAGCCCAGGATGCAGGAGCAGCTTTTTATGTATCTGCTGCTGTTGCGGGACACGTCCAGAGTCCAGGTCCTCAGATGGCACTTGTGGGGATGGAGGAGGCAGCTCAAAATGCTCCGAGTACATGAAGCACAACTTTTTTTGCCTTTTGGGAAGGGAATAAGGTGGATCCCTGGAGATACAGCTATGATAGCTACGTGTATGCTCCTTCAAGTGTGGGACAGTAGAAGCCAAACCATATCCTTGAAAAAAAGCCTGCAAACTTTTGTCATGCTTGCTGTGAGACAAGGCTTTTTCACAGCCCTTTGGCCTCAGCATCAGGTTCCTCAGGGTCATAAAGCTTTGGTTTGTCGAAGCTTAGTCTCCGTGTAGCTCGACATACCAGACAGGAAGCGGTGCTGTAGTGCAGACAAAGTGAATCTTGACCATTGAGCCATAAGGATTCAACTGGGCTAGGTCCTACGTCTTGAAATTGGATTCCTAGGTCTGCGTGAGAAACTTGAAGATTTCGGTCTACTGAGTCTTCAAGTTGTTCCTCAGTCACTGTTGCAGCAATTTTTGTTAGCGCCTGGGTTCCACGTGAAGGTATGCTACAAGAAGGGACCTCGTCATACATTTTGGTCTCCTCTTATCCATGTGTTGATGCGCTATTCCAGGCGCTGAGGCTGGTGAACAGCCGTGCCAGGCAGCAATCTAAAATCTAAAGTCTGTTCCAACAATAAATCCATCTCTGCATTGGCGGAGGAGTGGAAGTACACTGCAGCTGTTCATGCAACCAGTGGCGGCGGCAGGCACAAGCGTGAAGCAATGTCGGTGGCGCACAATTTCAAGGTTCAGAGCTGCAGAAGAAGTAGTATGTAGTAGCTGAAGTAGAAGAAGCAGAAGCAGCAGCGGCAGCGAGGCAAGCTTGTGAGTTCGGGCAGTGTCCTTTTCAGCTAAACAGCTTTCAGTGCTCAGCGAGCGCTTGGAAATATGGACCAGCATTTTTGAGGAATCACTTTAGACAATCTCGTGGTCAGAACCTACGAGTCATGTCAAGTAAGCTATCTGAAGCCTGCCGCAGCTGCGATTACATTTCCGTATCTATGTATGTATCATTCGTAGACTGTGTGCACCCAAACACTTGACCGTGTGCCTGTGCCCGGAGGGTAACGTGGGTGTTTGGGATCGAAACACTACGTGACTTCTTGCTGAGGGTTCTCCGGGACAACGTAGTCGTCCAGAGCATCTTCGAAACATTGTAAGCTATGTCAGGGGCGGATGCAACGCTCAGGGCTGCAGAGGCTGTGCCGTTGCCGCCAACAGAGGCGATAGATGTGGACGACTTGCAGAACGTGCCAACCCAAACCACTAACGAGCCGGAATCTCCTGCGAAGAGACCGCAGGGGGCCGCGTCGGCAAGTCTGACGTTAGATGACTTCACCAGAGCCCTCACGCCGTGGGTCACAGGCATGCGAGATGTCCAGAACCGGATGAGGGGGGTTGAGAAACAAGTCGCTCAAAAAGTGGGCCACGCGTTAGACTTGATAATTGCTGTCGGCGAACGCCAAATATCCCAGACACGTCAGCTGCAAGACCTGCACACCAAGTTTGAGGCACAGCAGCAAAAGTAGCAGCAACACTCGACTACAATTGAGGACGTCATCAGACGATTGGAGGGACTAGAGTCGCCACTGCTTTGGAAAGTGCACCTGGCCAAGTTCAAGCACGCATCATAGGGGGGTGGGATTCGGAAATGGTGCTACAGAAGGCCAAAGACTTCTTCTCGTCATCCTGCGATTACAAGCCCGACAAGGCGAAGACAGAAATCTCCTGCAAAGGCACGCGATCCAGGCTGTGGAGGTTGTGAGGGGGCTGGCAGAAAAAAGTGGCGACTGCGACGAGTCTGGAAACGCCCGCGTTGGGTGGATGGCCATCAGTGAGCCCACGAATCCGCCGACGTCAGTGCGCGAACCCTGGGCTAATGCTGGCGCTCGAACCCTTTCTTTTGTTGAGTGAGTCGGCTCTTTCGACTTTGGATGGTTGCGAGATCATCGAGGTGCATAGACCCAGCAGGAAAGCAAGTAAGAGCACTACCGGCAGGTTCAAAATATTGCCAGGTTTCATGCCATTGCCGGCCCTGCAGAGATATTGGCTTTGAGCTGTGGTGAAGAGGAAGAAGAGAGGGAGAGCGAGAGAGAGAGAGACACACACACACCCACAGAGAGCATCATGTCAGGCATTGGTTCCCATGCAATGTGATTTGCGGATGCGGATCAAAACCGGGCGAGCTAGCTCAGCGAATGGCTTTTACTGTGTGTAGATTGTGCCGACAATGCGCATTACTAGCCATCATTTACCATAATTTCTGGTTTCTTTCATTTTTGTCTGGGTTTCAGGTCCCTTTAGTAAGGTCAAACTTGTGACGGAATTTCCACAGTGGTCAGAAGCCCAATTGGTAAGGATGACAGATTGAGGGCCAATGTTTGTTGACCTTTATCTTCAAGTTTTGTTTGGGGAGTGGATCTGAAATCCTTCAGAAGCAAGCCCCAAGCTGCAGGTGTAAGCTTTACACACCTCCAAAAAAGCAGAGGGTTGGCAAATGGATGGATGTAGTTGTCACAAAAGCTTCTCGTGTGAAAGCCTCCTCCATCACTCCTTGCTATGCAAGGCTGGGAAATGTAGGGTCTGGCTGCGTAGCGCCAGGGACTGTTTGCAAGGTTGGGGGGGGGATCTGCTGCTTGCTTGCCACACTTGGGGGTAGGTTCATACCCTTGATATACCCCTAATGCACCCCGAGTATTCCTTTGATATACCTTGATTATCCCCAACATATCCCAAGTAGCGTTTAGCATCCAATTTATTCGCCCGACCCTGTAGCCTGTTTCATTGAATTTGAGTGGTGGGCACTAAGTTTAGCATGGTCCCAAGAGTCTAAGGCGGCTTGAGGACGATATGAGGTGACCACTGCGCCAACTGTTGTGTCTGAGGTATCCCACTGTTGAAACTTTTCCTTACAGTATCATCCCTGACAATCTAAACGCCTTGTGGACCAAGATGAGTTTGCTCTGCACTACGACAACATTGCAAGGGAGGCAGGTTGAACACAGTGGTGCTGCTTTAAGATTCAAATGTACATCCCAGACAGAAGTTGGTTTCTTACATGCTTGCATGAGTTGAGAGCAAAAGTCAGGGAGTCATGAAGTTGTCGTTGCCTCTGCAGGTGGATGAGGCCAGCTTCTTGGATGGAGCTCATTTCTACAAGCATGCGCAGCACTCGCAGGCCGAAGTGGAGGCAAAATCGGAGAAAGTCATAAATGCATCGAGTTTTGGATTGGGAGCTACTTCCAAGGTGACAGGGTCAAAATGCATTGAAATGCATCACCTTTTCATTGTTCTGTGGTTTGTGGTCCCGGATTTCAGATTTGGGTGTTCGTGGCTTTTGGATGCTCCCCGGAAGCACACCTGACTGTCAGACACACAAAGAGATTTGGGTGGGGTTGGTGCCTTTAGCTGTTCCTCTGGAAACCTCGAGAACGCTCGCCATCAGATTCTCTCAAGCCTGCCGAGCGGCCTGGAGTTCTCCTTAATTGGTTGGGGATAAGGTTTTCAGCTGGGGGCCTCGTGGGCACCGTTTGGGGTTGCTTGTTCTTTTGCTGTTGTCGTGCCAGGAGCGTGCGAGAAGTGCTGCTTCTGGGCACAGTCAAGGCCTTGACCGGGACGAGCAAGTCAGACTCAATGCAGCAACATGTGGAGAGAAAAGGCAGCCCCAGGCACATCAACACTTGCCACAGTTATGTGGGTGGATGACCAAGCAAAATCCTGGCTAGCAGGGGGAAGCAGTTCCATGAAACTTTCGTTTGCCATGGGACCATATCTCGTCTACCAGATTGCTTTGCAGGCGTTGCTGCCGCACACAAGGCACGTGAGCCCGGCAAGATGTCTGTCCAAGCAGCCAAGTCATGTTCTGTGGCGCACTCTTGCTCAGGCCTTAATCCATGCAAGAATCTTACTTGCGGACTGCAGATTTCCGGCATCAGCTCTTTCACCGTCGATCCTTCGAAAGCGGATCGAAGAGATTAAAGCAGTGCTACTTAGAACACAGACCGGCGTCGCCGAAAGGAAGCTTTTTCTCTGCGCCTCTGCAGGAGGAGAATGCAACGCATTGGTCAGGGAGTTTCTTGGAGAAAGCTCGTCTCTACAGCCATCTCGGTCTTACAGGCAAAGCTGACATGAGAGGCACCATGTCAGGTGATCAGGGTAGGATTCAAGTTTGGGTCTGCAGCTCCAGATCGGCAGGCATTCCCAGGTATCGCTTCGGATTCGGTTTTCCTGCAGGGCCAGGTTGTCAAGCATTAGCATGTAGCATTTCAGGATTCAGCAATCAAGTAGTTGGATGTGGCATATGATATGAAGTGATATGAACTAGTTCTGGCAAGCCACCAGCCCCTTGACGTCAGACGCCTCGCAAGACCATGCCCACCCCAGATGTGCACAGGGTCGGCCCCACAGGCAATGAATGAATGAGTCAATCAAATAATCAATCAATCAATCAATCAACCAATCAATCAATCAATCAATCATAGTTCTCCTCAGGAACCATGGAAGTTGCATGTTTGTAGCCTTCGCAGTTGCCTCTACTTGGCTTTGAAGCTCCCTCGAGTATGGCCAGCAGCAGAAACTACTGCACTCACAAGTAGCGCAGACGGGTGTTCCAACTGATTTTGTGCGCATATCAGCCCCAGCTTAAGTTCAGGGGTCCCTCAGAAGACCTGATGTTGTGCGGAGGTGGCGGGCAGTTGCAAAGCCAAGCAATGCGCAAGGCTGGATGCTTTTAGCATCAGGTCAAGTACTAGCCGGTATCTCTGCTATTGCCACAATTTAATTTGTCATACTGTCCTATCCATTGTACTCATTGTTGGAATGATTTCCCTGAAAATTGTGCTCCGACGGCTCATGCCCTGGGCAGTCCCGAAGAGAGCGCGTTTTGTTAGTTCTACTTTTTCTTAGCACCACTGCCCTTTCTTTTACGTTTGGAATACCGTTCGCTCTTGATCTATTTTGGTTCTGTGCCTTGTTCGCACTACGATTCTTACTCGGTCGGCTTCGGCTATCCGGATTGCACTGGACTCCCTTTTGCATGCAAGGTAAGGTGGACAATTGGCGCCTGGTTGTGGACACCTGGCTGAGTATATCCATACCCCTTGAAGGATTCAGACGATGACGTCATGTGTTTCTCTTGTTTACCCACTCGAAACGCCAGGGTGCAGCAAGGTTTTCAAAGTTGCGAGCTTTGTTCTCAATCGCTACCATGGGCCTAGATAGAGGAGTACCTTTTGGGTGCTCAGATTCGAAGAAACACACAAGTGCTTTCGAAAGGAGAGAGAAGGCCGTGCACTCAGCAACAATGGCTTCGCTTGGGGCATCATACTCAAGCCGCGTAATGCTTTGATTGATTTCGCCGGTACATGCACACATAGAAAGAAAGGGAGACAATGAAATGGTTTAACCGTGTGAACATTGATGGGTAATAGCCTGGTTCAGACTATCACGAAGAGCCCGCCATATCGTTTGAAGAGTGATGGCTATCCAACAAGCCCTGGACCTTAGACCATTGAACCCCAGACCTTGGCAAAGGGATGGCTCTGAGCTGAGGCGGATCTGGTACTTCGTTTTCTACCTAGCTGTGGCTTGCGTGTGTGCTCTCGCTGTGATCGTGTGCATGGCCGACAAGCAGAGGGAAGGGGCCGGCTGCATAGAGACAGCGTGCAGCGCCTGCTGTTGTTCGACTTGCTTGTTCCTTCTTGCCATGTTCTTCTTTTCGCTAACCATGACTGCGGGAAGATACCTCGCAACTTGGTGTCTCGGGTTGATTTGGTATGTTTGCAAGAGGGCCAGACGGGTCATAATCAAGTTTGGGTCTTTAAATGAAATCTGGTGGAGGTTATCGACCAGTTGCTCAGGCAGCTGTTACAGAACTTAATGTGAGATCCAGTATTGAGTTTTTAATAACGACTCGAAAGTTGTCTGTAGATTGCGCATAGACCTTGAGTACAGCAATGAAATGAGAAGCATTCATCAACCCCAAGCACCCCGGTGAGTAGATATTGCGGGTCTTGTCATAGCCAAGGTGCACGTGCAACTGCACCTGATGTGCCCGACAGTGATTGCAGTTGGTGCAGCCATCTATGATCAACGGCCCTAGCGTAGGCACAGGGTTGATACTGCTCGCCTGTGTGACAAAGAGGTGGTGCAGCCTAGGGCCACGCTTAGGATGTGAGTTGCCTGGCTGTACGGTGCCGGTAGGCATGGGTTGGTTACAGACCAGCTCCATTACCACTCCCGCTGTCACTACCATGACCACAACCACCATCACTTCCACTACCTCCATGACTACACCCACCCTTGGGGGCCGCCCCCCACCGCCACCACCACCGCCGCCACCACCACCACCACGACCACTACGACCACCACGACCACCACCACCACGACCACCATGACCACTACGACCACCACGACCACTACGACCACCACGACCACCACGACCACCACGACCACGATCACGGTGACGACCACGACCACGACCATGACCACGACCACGACGATGACGACGGCGACGGTGACGGCGACGGCGACGACGATGAGATGACGATGACGACGACAATCATGACGACGATCAGGGCGGAGGTCACGACGGCGGTCACGACGGCGACCACAAAGACGATCAGGACGACGACCACAAAGACGATCACCGCGGCGATCATGACGACGATCACGAGGACAATCCCGAAAACGATTACGACGACGATGACGACGATGACGATGACGATGACGATCACAGCGACGATCACGACGATCACCACGACCACACCACAATGACTAGTACGAGTACGAGTGCTAGGAGGACCAGGAGGAGGACGACGACAACTACTAAAACAACTACGTAAAAAAAGACTCCAGCAGATGTGCCTGAAGCGTTTGGCTTGAGAAGTCGAACTTCCTCCCGCATGAGATGCGCGTCAGATGAGCTTTGGCAAGACACCGTAAGCATGTTGCGAATGTGGTATATCGAATATTCTGTTCAATTTCTTGCCTCTCCAAATCCTGTCTTCATTCCTCCCTCCTTGGTGCAGCCATGATTTTTGATGAAACGGTGCTTGGCCGCGTGTCATCAACTACCCATCTGCATCTGCACTTGCCACAGGAGACGGCTGCAAGTCTGCAGAGACAGGTGATCTGTTGTCTTAGATGATCAATAATTAAGCCGTGTATGGCAGGGTAATATGAAATCCAATGGCGACTGTAAAGGGCATCATAGTGTTCCTCAGGGCATTGCTTCCAAGAGTTTATGAAAGGTGCCTGCAACTGCGGCAACAGAGAGTTGGACATGTTGGACGTGCTGCATAACGTGTTTTGGATGTGGTCTGGCTTGGCTGAAGAGCTGCTCCGATTGTGGCAAGCGATGGCTGAACACTGGAAACACACTTATCCATGTAATGACCGTGGAGTCAGCGTTTTTGATTCTGTTCCAATACTCTGTGCAGTCTTTTTTGCGAGACATACTGGTGGACTACAGCCTCATTCTATACAATGTTGGTCCAGAGCGAGGTTGCCAGGAGCAAGCTTCGACAGAGTTTGTGTGGACGTTCCAGGTGTCATTTTCTGAATACTGCTACAAGGAGTATTGGCATCCCCCAGCCTACCTTGTGGCGGCGCTCAATGTTGGTTGCTTCATGTTAGTTCTGGCCATCTGGCTCTTGCCAGTCATGGGCGTTATTTCTACTTTCGGGTTTTGTTCGCAGAAGATCGGGACTGGAGCCTACCTCAAGCTGTTGTACGAGGTCCGCGAGAGCTTCTGGGCTGAGCACAGCTTTTGATTGAGCCGTTGGCAGTACCTTTCCTTATAGTCCCCCTCAAGTAGATAGAATATGCTTTTGGGTAAATCATAAAAACATCCCATATACCCTACCCTAGACCCTAAACCCTAAGGATTAGTTTTTGCCTGGCCACCCAGCCCAGGCATGCGTTATTATGTCCTGTGCACGATACTTGAGATCCTAGCATTCAGTGCCATGGTCGTCCTTCTTCTTGTCGCCCATTCCTTCGGCCGACTGTACTGGTCGATTCAGCACAAATTTTTGGCTGCGTCCCTGGCCTCAAATGACCTTTTCGATTGATGGCGATTTCGGTGTAGGGCCAAAGAGTGGTGCAGGAGTTTACACCAATCTGTTTTTCGCTCTGTCACAGTGAAGGCAAAGTGTGCAGAATCCTGTACATGACCATAAGCTTTACAAAAGGGTTACAACTTTTTTGTTGGCTGTTTTAGATTCTCGGACCTCTGGGGCTGTCTGTCAGGGCTGCAGCAGGTAACGAACCAGATAATTTTTTGCAGTAGATTTGACGATGTGTCCTTTCCACTGTGCTGCGGAGCTTGTGGCACTGTATACCACAAGCAAGTGACCTGAGATCACCTGACGAAAGCAAAGCTGCAAGGTTGGTTACAGTGATCAGCATGCGGCATTTCACTCGTCCGCCCAAGCCGACCTTTGACTTCAAGAGCAAGTGCTTTGAGAAACTCGAGTTCCGAGGCCGGCTGTGTAATTGCTTTCAGGGAGGAGGGATTGTCGCAACTGCATCTCAGCGGGCTGAGCAAAGATAAAGACCCACCAAGGTGCTTTCCCGATGCCAAGCAGCTTCTTCACAACAAGTTTGCTATATGCCTTGGCCGAAGCGGAGGTTGCAGACGCCATTGGCAGTTCCAGGGTTGCTGTTGAAGACCAACAGAAGCTGCATCTCGTGACTCTCTTGGGGGATGACGACCAAGAAGGTCTCAGGCATGCCATGGCCTCAGCGCACAACCAGAGCAGTTGTCCTCATTTGTGATCATAATCACGGGGTCTCTTGCAGGGTCCTGCCCTGCCTTGCACTGCTGCACGAACTCAGGTTCGGCAGGTTCTCTTGGGAAAATGCAGGGATTGCTGTTCAAGGCAAGACCTTGGAACAAAGCAGCCTCTGTGGTCAGTGGCGGAAAATGAAAAAGACACAGAATAATGCTTTCGGGAATCCATCTTGTCAGAGGCAAGCAGGTTGGATGCTCGACATTAGAAAGTTGTTGCATCTCGTTGGTTTACGCTACTGTACAGAAACTTCCAAGCTGCTACTGCCGAGCGAATCTAGCGCGAAGCGTTCAGGTTTTTCCTGCTTGGCCAAACCTGGGTAGCCTGCTTGTGCAGCTTTTGGTGGAAAAGCTCGAAGCATGATGATCAGTAACCGTCCACAGGCACATGTATTTTATGTTCACGACGTTTGCCATTCCTCAGATTCTGAGGAAGGGAAGGGTGGGGACAGACACCTACGAGTTTCAGATAGGGGTCTGTACGCGCCATACGGGCCTATCTATATCTCATAGGCATCTGTGATAGGAGTCCACCCCACCCTATGGGTTGGGCTTGCTTGGCTTTATCCATGGGGGTTTCTCTGTAAACCGTAGTCCGTAGAAAATAGGGTTCTATCTGTCCCTGTTGGTGATGGCGTGTATGGGTATGGGTCTACTTGGTATCAGACGGATCAGCATTCAATCGGGATCTTTTGAAACCAGATTAAAACACTATTCAAGGGAACCATACGCAAAGATTTGGGGTCGGGGTCTGCGGCCAAGGCCTTTCAATCATGTGAGCTGTAGTCTAAACTCACAGGCGGGGTATATAGGGGATTTTATAGGGAAGCATTATAGGGGGTGTCAAGGGGGATATTAAGAGATTAGACTATAGTTCATGTCTCATGTCAGGTCAGAGAACAACAACTGTGGTGCTGGCTGTCAGGGTCGTGCTTCTGGTAAGAGGTGTCATAGTACTGACTGCACTCGAACTGTGTTGCTGAACCAGGAGTAGTCGTCATTGCGGGTCTTTGTATTCTTTCAACAATAATGTCTATCCCTAACTAAAACAAATGCCATGATCATGATATCAACTGTCGCACCCTTGACAGCGTTCTACGCTGTTATCTACCCCCCTCCACTTTCTTTTGACATTGGGCTAGGAAGCTGGTATTGTTGCAGGCACAGTGTAGAGGTGTTGCCACCCCACTAAGGTGTCATTTCGAATCTTGATCCAGCTTATGTTGAAAGTGCAGACATATGGGAAGCCTACTTTTCAGAAGCAGCATTGTCCATGCATTGTATGATGAAATCATTGCAGAGCTGCAGCGCCAGGCTCAACAATTCCCGTAGCTGCCGTTGTTTGACCTCCAAGTTTTGATCCACTTTCTTGCGGCCTTGGCCACCATGCGCTTCCACGTTTTTGTGCTCCTGGTGTATGCAGTCGTCGCCTATCGTGAGAATGATGGGCACCAGAAAACTTGGCTGTATTTAGGTAATGTTTCATTTGGTGGTCCTCTAATACATAGAAGTTGCAAACTTGTGCCCGTGTTGCATCCGGGGCATGCCATGATGGAGCCAGCATTGCGGTTTCAGTTGAGTATAGCGGGCCGTTCGAGGACGGAGAATTGTACAAGCAATTTGTAAAGGAGCCTGGCCCTTTGAGAAAATGCCAGCCTGCAATCTGAGGAAGAGTAGCCTGTCCGTCAGGGACATCCAGAATGAGGCAGCAGCTCTGGCATGAGGGAGTGCACGGCTTGCTGCAGGGTGGATGTATCGCAAAGTTGGAGCAGTGTTGGAGCTGTCAGGATTTAAGTACGTGGGGGTACCTTAGTAGCAACTCTTAGTGACTTGGTGGGAGAATCAATGATTGGTAGTATTTCCTGATGTACAACCTACTCACGACTCATGCCTTGTCACTGCCGCATGTCCGCACAGTGACCAGGAGAACATGTGAGGACATGCAGAATCATCACCATCATCATCATCATCACCATCATCATCATCGTCAGCGTCATCATCATGTTAGCAGGGTCATCAGCATCAGCATCATCACTATCGTGATCAGTTTCATTGTTGTCCCTATCCTTGTTTTCATTGTCCTGATGGCATTTAACAACAGCATTAAGAAGATCACCGCCCGAAGAGTTGGGAAACTTCTGTGTTTTGTTGCGTTGAATCAGAGACGCCAAGCGCAAGAAACCCTGATGCGGCGAAGACGTTTTCATCAGTTTTCAGTTTGAACCTGTGGACCCTGACTGGCAAATAGCTCGTGAATTTGGGATCAGATGGAGTGTTTCAGGATTCGGGTTCAGGCAGAGATTGTTGATGGCTTGCCAAGAAATCACCAAGCTTCTGGCGCTTCATTATGCCATATGTCAGGGATCGTTCACATTAAAGGCCTTTATGCGGGGGTACTTGATGTAAGACCTGGCCAAATTCATGGGAGCCAAATGAGGTGTTTTTTCTAGGATGGCCAGCCATAAAGCATCAGAGGATGTGGGCACGGCAGGCAGAGGGAAATGGGTGTACAGAACATAAAGCCCATAGTCTCAGCTGTAAACAATTCTTAGCTGCAGGAGGAACCTACATCCTGTATCTTGAAGCCTTGTAGCCAAGCTCTGCCAGGAAGCCGTACGTGTATCGTCTGTGCCAAGCACATACGACCTAAGCCCCAAATCTCAGCTGGCAGGTTGCCCAAGGATCAGCTGCCGATGCAGGGAAGAAGTCGCCGGGATCCCCAGCTTTGAAAAGCAGGTCCATGATTATGGTGCTGATGGTCATATGAACTGTGCTCTAACCTCCTTCCAGGGTTTTTTTTAAGGATTATATAAAGGAGTATTACAAGGCTTATCAAGGGGGATACTAGGAGTTTAGACAATAGCTAACATCAATGCTATAAGGGTGACAGCCTGAAGAAGAACCACAGTTATAGTCGTCAGCATGGAAGGTAGTAATGTAGCTGTAATCTCTGCTGGTGGTCATAGCAGCAGGAGTATCAGATGTGGTAGTGGTCGTCGTCGTCGTCGTCGTCGTCGTCGTCGTCGTCGTCGTCGTCGTCGTCGTCGTCGTCGTCTTAATCGTCTTCGTGATTTTCCGCGTGATTGTCGTCGTGATCGTCGCGGTGATCATCTTTGTGGTGGTCGTCGTCATCGTCTTCGTCGTAGTTGTGGTGGTGGTGGTTCTGTGGTGGTGGTGGTTTTGTGGTGGTGGTGGTGGTGGTGGTGGTGGTGGTGGTGGTGGTTTTGTGGTGGT